GAATTTAGATACTTCATTCTGATTACGTTATTCATTATAATATTTTTTGTATTTTCTGAGAACATTTACCATAGTAATGTATATTTTTTTTACACCATCAGAAAGTAGAGAGTTCATCGAACAAAAAGCACACCGACTTTTTGAAAAAAAGCTGATATTTTGACGCGAGAATTTTCGATTGAAAATTAGGGTGCTTTTTTGATATTAAGTCAAAATAAGGCGAAATAATAAATATTTCAAATCAAATAAATTACAGTGTATTTGGGACATAAAAAGGTAAGTTTTCACCAAATTTCGTGGAAAAATTTTTTTTTTTGAAAAAGATAAAAATAAAAAACCAAAAACTTGGTTTTTTGAATTTTTCACATAAATTTTGAGGTTATAAGAAAAAATTGTAAATACAAAAGTTGTAGATCTTTTTATTACCTACAACTTTGACATTTAACTTTTTTCCATAGGACTTGTAGTTTTGCCGGAAATCGAGATAAACCATTTTTTACCCTTAAACCCTCCCACTTCCCGAACTCAGATCGCCCGTAATTTATTTTTCCTTTAATTTTTATTATATTCCCCTCCTTTTCCAATGGGTTTCATCCTACTGTTATTTTTTTTTCTCTTTTTACCATTTTTAAAGGCTTCTGCACTGGTCTATATATAATAAAGGATGATTCATTTAGACCTTTTTTTTAATTCTAAATAAAACGCATAAAATGGAATTGGATGGCGGAATCTTTATTATGACCTGAAAGAACGATCTTTGACATTTTTTTTTTAATAATTTCATTTAAATTCTGGCCGCGTACAGCGTGGTCCATTCGGAAGGTCCAATTTTCGATCACTCTTTCTAGCATTGCGACCGGCATCTGCCCAATTACCCGAGTAATGATTTCTCAATAAAGCTATTGTTTCGCGCGCTGTGTGTGCCGTAGCTCCGTCTTGTTAAATCAAAAGTCTTCGTCGATAATCCAGACACGATTCAGTACTAAGAAGCCTACATTACTCGCGTAATTGGGCAGATACCGGTCGCAATGCTAGAAAGAGTGATCGAAAATTGGACATTCCGAATGGACCACGCTGTACGCGGCCAGCATTTAAATGAAATTATTTTCAAAAAATACATGTTAAAGATTGTTCTTTTAGGTCATAATAAAGATTCCGCCATACAATTCCATTTTATTCATTTTATTTAGAACTAAAAAAAAAGGTCTAAATGAATCACCCGTTATTTTGGCATCAAAATTGTCAAAAATATTCTTCTTTTATTAGATTTTACATTAAATAAAAAAAACGCAAGAAATATTTTATAAAAGTAGAGATAATTTTAATAATTAAAAGGTGTGGACGGGACAAAAAAAAGATTTATCTTGTCCCATCCACATCTGTCCAATAATGAAATTATCTTTATTTTTATAAAATATTTCTTTCGATTTTTTAATTTAATGTATAGCCTAATAAAAGGAGAATATATTTGACAATTTGACAAAAATAATATATAATAAATTCCCTTCAATTTTTTTATAAAAAAAGGTTTGTGATTTGTCCCGTCCGTCCGCTTGAAATTGTTCTAGATAAAAAACAGCTTTAGTGATGATTTTCGCAAATAATTTGGAAGATACATTCCCAAATATGTGTATTGCGTTGCGCAATATATATATATAATATATAATATAACATATATGATATATTATACAGTATGTCTCAGTATCTTGGAATCATATGGAAAACTTTTTTAATATTAATTTTAAGAAAAAAAGTTATTCCTTATAAAAAGTTCTGCATGGTGTAAAACTTAAAATGCAACCCACAAATATTAATTTTTTTAGTCGTATACGGGGTATGTCAAAAAATATGAATTTGACTCAAGAGTAAAGTACCTTTATATTTGACAATATCGAAAATTGTTATAAAGAAAAGTTAATCAGAACTAAAAACTACGTTTAAATATGCAATTTCATCCATTTACATTAAAAAATTAGGTTTTGTTAATTTTTACTAATCTTTTCATTTTAAATGAACATTTATCTGTTATGATTACAAAAAACATGAAAACCTTTTCGGTTCTAAATGTTTTCTAAAAACTTTGCAATTTTAACACGTAATTAATGAATTTATTTTGCAAATAAAAAACACTTACAAACTTAGTATTTAATACTAAGTTACAACTTTTACACAAGTGTAATTAACATAATATTTATACTAGAAATAAATGGAAATTTAATTTTCACTCATTCCACTAACGCCTCGACATATCCACCCTCTCGTTCAATACATTTTATTATTCTATTAGAAAATTCACGTAATTCATTCCTTATTATTTGTGGAGAAATTTCCTGGCATATTTCTAAAATTATTCTTTCCAAATGATTAACATCTTGAAACGGCCCTTTCTGGTGAACTTTTTGTTTCAAGTAATATTTTGGTAACAGTTGATTGATTAATATTTTTATTGGGATGTCTATTACTAAAAATAATAGCTGCTTCTCTACACAGTAAAAAATTTCTGGTAAAAAACAACACCAAAAGTGGTCTATATAGGTCCACACTAGAAATGGTATATCTAACCACATACAATTTGGTAAATTTTACCCTTTTTAATTGATTAAAAATCTACAATTACTATTCGTACAAAAAACTCGTAACAGTGTAAAAATCATCAAATATAATACACTCTTAGGGGTAAAAGCAACACGCAATATTGGTAAAAAAACTCAATTCAAGAGTAGAAAATGCTCAATTTGGTGTAATTTACTACACATGTGGGTGTTACGTGTAGGTGTTAAAAATGGTGGGAGTTTTAATATTAAACACAGCATGTAATGTAAAATAAAGTATATTTTATATTACTTACAAACTATTAGATATGAATACAAATAGGCTTAACATAAAATTAAAAAAAATGATTAACACTACTTAGGTGTATTCTTATACCCAAGAAGTGTTAATAATTTTTTTTATTTGAATGAAAAGTAGTACTTAATATTTTAAGTTTTTTCCAGTTTGTGCAAAACCATATTTAGCTTATATAGGTATATAAGTTAAATATGATTTTTCACTAGCTCAAAAAACTTAAAATTTAAAAAAAAAAATGATTAACACTACTTAGGTGTATTCTTATACCCAAGAAGTGTTAATAATTTTTTTTATTTGAATGAAAAGTAGTACTTAATATTTTAAGTTTTTTCCAGTTTGTGCAAAACCATATTTAGCTTATATAGGTATATAAGTTAAATATGATTTTTCACTAGCTCAAAAAACTTAAAATTTTACTAAATTTCATATTTCATTTAAAAATCACAGGTAAAAAAAACATGTTATATCACAAACATAAGTTGCATCCACTGTCAGATTGCACCACTTTACCCGACCACTGAATTTAAATTTAAAAACCAAGGTCTTAAGATAGCATGCATAGGTACACTACCATCAACTGCACTCGGAATACTGATAGCTCCCTTGCTGTTAGTGAATGGTGATGACTACGTGACTTTTTTTTACCACAATGTGTGTAGCTGTCAACAAATAATAGTGTCAAATGTACACTGCGTCGAGTTTATCTTTAAATTAACACTAGATTGACACGGTGCTGTGTAAAATAAATTTAAATTAACACGAATGAATTTTACCTCAATTTAAAATAAACACTTAATATTTTTGACCAATTTTGGTGTATAAATTAACACCAAATGAATTTACCACTCCATTTGGTAACTTTACACCGAAATATTTTTTACTGTGTATGTGTTTTATAATTTTCTCTCACAATTAAAAAAATTTCTATTTTTTTCTTCACTAGTTAATAATAAAACCATTTTTGTGTCATAAACTAATGCGTTTTAAAACTTACTGTCAAACATTTGCTGCTATCAACAAATCATTTGTTTATCAGTGCATCCTAGATTACATGTTACAGTTAAATTTGCATTGATCAATATCAATATTGTAGACAAAAAAGAAAAAATATATTTTTTTTTAATGTAAATGGATGTAATTCCATATTTAAACGTAGTTTTAGTTCTGATTAATATTTCTTTATAACAATTTTCGATATTGTCTAATATAAAGGTACTTTACTCTTGAGCCAAATTCATATTTTTTGACTTACCCCGTATACGACTAAAAAAATTGAATATTTGTGGGTTGCATTTTAAGTTTTACCATTGAGTAAACAACTTCTTTACTCAATGGTTTTACACCATGCAGAACTTTTTATAAAGAATAACTTTTTTCCTAAAATTAATAATAAAAAAGTTTTCCATATGATTCCAAGATACTGAGAAATACTGTATATCCCCACTGAAGTTGTAAGAGTTGTTTTAGTAAGATAAAATTAATAATTATATACATTTTCTTAAGATATTTCTACATTTATCAGGTTACAAAATGGCATTCTTATTAACCTTTTATATTTTTAATAAAATTAAATAAAATAACGCTATAAATCTTAATTAGAGAAGATTTAGAATGTTTAATTTAGGCTTTTTAGTAGTTTTCAATTTTTAACGAAAAACTGATTGAAGTTTTTTGATCGGCACTTGGTAGTTATTAATTATTAATTAATAAGAACACTTTTGCACAATCAATACATTTTGAGGATGTAGAAGATATGTTTGCTAAAAGAAAAGCACGCAAAGTTGATTTTTAATTCTGGTTACGCACTTTTGTTTTACTTGCACCTTGGCCTCCCTTAGAAATGTTATAGATCCGGGCCTGAATTAAGGTTTCCGAAACGAATACATTTAAAAAATATTCGAACACAGTGATCGGTTGCACAACATGATTGCAGTATTCGTATACAGAAGTACTTGAATACGACCTAGCTCTGCATTGTAATACTCATTGAGATAGAATATTCTCCTTCTCGAAGGCATTACTATGTATACACTAGTTTGTAATTTTACTAGGTGTGTGATATTGTTTAGTAAATTGTAGCAAATTTTATCAGTATTGTTTTAATAATAATGTTAATTTTAACTATTAATAAAAAAGGAATTTATTTTCAGCCAAAATAACAAAGGAAAAAACAAATCACCTGTAAGCGGGCGCTTGCGTGGCAGGGTGAACTGAACGGAGAAATTTGAGGGCTTCGCAGTGCATTTTGTTACCATCGGGCCGACAATCTGGAAGCGAGCGAAAAGAGACGCCACCGACGTCGCCGTCGCTTTCTTGATAAACTCGCGAACTTGTTGATCGCCGTAGCTACCTATTGCTTTGTGACTCAATAACCGCCGAGAGTGTAATTTATTTAATACATGTGACCTAATTGAATAATGTTTAATTGAAGAAGTTCTTCTCCACTTCTGTCTGTTTGTTACGAGGTAAGATTATTTTTACTTAACATTCCTAACCAACTAAAAAACTTTTAAAAATTAATATAAGTTGGAAAAAATTTAATCGTGGATTTTTTTTTATATAAAGTTATGCTCTATGTTTCCAAGTAACGAGGTGCAAAATATGTGTAATATTTTTTATCTTTCGGCTACTAGAATTTAAAATAAATGAAATATTCATTAGTAGTTTTTGTAAAAACTGCAAATACCATGGTATCTTGAAAAGGATTAATTACTGGAAAACGGAAAAATTTAGTTTGAAATAAAGATATATATATGTATTAGGGTGTTTCAAAAAAATCGACTTTTTCTTTTTCTTCAAATGGTCAGCAAATTCTTTCAGAGGATGTCAAAACAAAGACCTCTTTAAAATTTGAGCTTTTAATTTGAAGATTTAGAGGTCGCGGATCGCAATTTTCTATTTCCCATTTAAATAACATAGGAAATTTTTTTTTTAACTTTGGAATTTTATACGTCTATATCGAATCAACTTATGGCAAGGAACATCTTATATTTTTATAGTAAATTTAACGCTCTATAAAAAATGTCTCTTATAATTTTTCTATAAATTGATTTCTTCAAGAGTTATTCGAGGCCAAAGTTTGATTTCCATCGAATTTTCTCGTTTTTTCAACTTTTAGCATCATGTAGTAAAAAAATCACATATTTATATCTGAAACATAGAAAGTGTTGTAAAAAAAACAAAAAAACAAAAAAACGTCACTTTTTTCCAAAGCCTACTACAAAGTTTTAATGAAAATATGAGATGTGTATAATATGCAAAGTGAGCAATTCAAATCAAGAGTACCTATTTTTCGTAAAAAACTATAAATTCTCATAATTTCATAAAAAAATTAAATTATTAACCCAGAAAAAAGGGCTATTTTTGTAACTTTGCCCCCTCCAAATGTTACGCCTATGATTAAATTTTAACAGTTTTGATCATAGATCAAGATTCAGCATGTCAAAATTACCAAAGTACCTACCGAAAATTCATTTGTTCATGTTCAACCCTCTAGGAATAGTTTTAAAAAAATTATCCTCTTAAGCTCCTATTCAGGGGCCCGTAGCACCTTTAGGGAGCATTTTTTGATACATGTTTATTAAACAAAAAAAGTGTTATTTTTATACGAATAATGCAACTGTTTAAGTTTGGCCCCCTGATTTCGGGACACCCGTATAATGATAATTGAACCATAAATATTAAAAAAAACGCGAAAATTCGATGGAAATAAAACTTTGGCCTCGAATAACTCTGGAAGGAATCAATTTATAGAAAAATGATAGGAGACCTTTTTTGTAGAGCGTTAAATTTACTATAAAAATCTAAGATGATTCTTGACATAAGTTGATTTAATTCAGACGTATAAAATTTCAAAGTTAAAAAAAAAAAATTCCCATGTTATTTAAATGGGAAATAGAAAATTGCGATCCGCGACCTCTAAATCTTCAAATTAAAAGCTCAAATTTTGACGAGGTCTTTGTGTTGACATCCTCTGAAAGAATTTGCCGACCATTTGAAGAAAAAGAAAAAGTCGATTTTTTTGAAACACCCTAATATATATATATATATATATATACATGCACGGCTATCAATACGAAGCCCGGTGCATTACACTGGCTAGTCGAAGCCCGGTAATGCGGGACGGGGCGGTTAACTGTTCGTTGGTGCATAAACAACAAGAGACACACTTCGCTGTGTATCAGAAGCCCTGCGGTGTTGCCAATGTCTAAATTTATAATTATAGGCAAATTTGATTTAAAATACCTAGACGATACTTAAACTTAACAATATTCTTAAATAATGACGTAGGTATACTTAAATATTTAATAATATTGTTGAATTATAATTATAATAATAATAATTATCGTTAAATTATAATTATTTATATTATAATAATTTAAAAGTATTGTTGAATTTAGGTACCTATAGGTATAAACATTTCATTTATTTTGTTTATACTTCATAATTTTAAAAAGGTTTAAATATCTTATACAGGGTGCTCTACAAGCTCTATGGCAAACTTTGTCAGATGATAGCTGGGTTAATTATAAACATTTTTTCTTAAATGACATGGATGCGATTCGTTTTTGTTTAAAATTTAAGCCTTTAAAAATATATTTCCATATGTTAATAAAAAATATACAAATATATCAATAATTATAATTATTATAAGAATTATTGTTGAGGTTAGGTAATTTTGTGTTAAACTTAAATGGGAATCAAAACAAGTGAAACTGACTGAATATTTTTTTCATGAATTATAAAGACATCTAGTTTTTTTTAATTATTAGATTTAAATACACGAAAAATTCTAAAAAATCTAAATAATGACGTATACTTTAATACACTGCCCGACAAAATTATCGCATAATAAATATAAAAAAATTAACTCTAAAACGCCTTTACCAATCTTTATGAAATTTTTGATAAAAATACTTCAACTTATATCTCAATTTACGTGTTAGAGGGTTTTTCGAGAAAATATGTTTAAAGCCTTTTTATTTAATAATGAAAAAATGTTCGAAATATAACTTTTAGGGAATTTTTTTAAATAAATAAAAAATATGCTGTTAAAGAGCGTATTTTTTTAGTATACCCTGAAAATTTTGTACAAATCAAACGAACATTAACGAAGATACAGCGCTTCAAAGTCGGTAAAAATGACGCCTTTTTGATTATTTTGCTGAAAAGTGGTCATTTTTCACGACTTTGAAGCGATGTATCTTCGTTACTGTTCGCTTGATTTGTACAAAATTTTCAGGGTATACTAAAAAAATACGCTCTTTAAGAGCATATTTTTTATTTATTTAAAAAAAATTCCCTAGAAGTGATTTTTCGAACTTATATTCATTATTAAATAAAAAGGCTTTAAACATATTTTCTCGAAAAACCCTTGAACACGTAAATTGAGATATAAGTTGAAGTATTTTTATCCAAAATTTCATAAAGATTAGTAAAGGCGTTTTAGAGTTAATTTTTTTTATTTATTATGCAATAATTTTGTAGGGCAGTGTATTTAAAAATAGTGTGATTTATAATTATTTTAATAAAAACTATTATATTATTGAATGAATTATAAGTCATTATTTAAAAATATTGTCTAAATTTATAATTATAGGCAAATTTGATTTAAAAGACCTAGACCATAGTTGAGGACCATCCGTGGAAAACCGGCTATATCCATTTTAATAAATGTTGGGAAAATTTAAAAAAACTTAACCAAATTAAAAGTTGAAAAATAAAAAAAATAAGTGGGGAAAATTGCTATTTAGTTTAGCATCCTATAAACAAGAAAAATGTATTACAAACCAAATATTGTTTTATAGCTACATTATAAAGTTAAAGCTGCCTTTTATCCAATAAAAATCGTAGATAAAATATTACTTTAACCAAAACGGTTGATAAAATAATATTGTAATGGTAAGTATAAATGGACAATCCTTATCTAAAAGGAACCAAGCGCCAAAAACTATTTTTGGACTTAACAACATTTTTTGTAAAATAACTCATTTTTAATAATACTCAAAAAGTTTATAACTTCTTTCAAATTATAATTAAGTTTTTGAGCAGCATTAAAAATGAGTTAGGTATATACAAATAAGTTTGTTAAGCTCCGAACAAGTTTTTGGTTCCTTTTAGATAAGCACTATCCAAATAAAGAACCCAATTTATTGTTGTTTGGTCGTTTGGTCGTTGTTTGCCATGTATAAATAAATTGACCATTTATGAATGTTAATTGACAAATTGCCATGAGAAGCTATCTGTCAAAAAGCAGTTTTTGCAATTCAATGTTACATTAAAATGATATTTAATAAAAATAATTTTTAATTTATTTCATACCGCTATAGCGCGCTATTGGAAAGTTTTTAAATAAATTAAAAATTATTTTTAATAAAATTGGAAATGTTTCAAATAAATTAAAAATTATTTTTATTTAAATTATTTAAATGTAACATTGAATAATAATAATAATAATATATACAAATCCCCTTGTTTCCCCAATTAAAACTATGTAAAATATCTGGACAACTTGTAAAACCGCCCCAAAGAAAAATGCACTCCAAATAATATTTCAAAAATAAATATTTCTTTAAAATTAAGTGTATTACGAAAGTATTTAACAAAACATTGCCTTTTAATCCACGCCATGTAGTGAACAAAACATAATTTTGGGAATATAACATTTGTTTTGAAAATCAGTAGATACAAATTTAAAAATCCCGCATTATTTTCCCCGCCTTCCTATCAAAAAGTCATCGAGCGTATAGTCCCCCATTGTTGCCAGATGTACGGGCTTCGTATACTGCGTAATACTTATACAAAGCTGTATATAATCTCGTTTGACTCGTGTGCCCCCTACCGCCAAAGCATTGGAACTAAGGGTGTATATTTTGATAGGTTTGAATGGCATTAGGAAGCCCACCACTTTTTCGCCATTGAAACAAGGGGGCATCACTTAACTCTAAAACAAATTTATACACGCTAATTTTATACTGTAGAATGTAACGTTTCGGGCTTGGTAATGTAGGATTGCATATCTATATATATATATATATATATATATATATATATACAGGGTGAGTAATTTAACTTGAAACTTTGAAATATCTTAGTTAACTAGTTAGTATGCATTTTTCCAAAAAATGTTTAAAATAAAAATTAAATGATTCGGATCATTCGACTAAAAATAGGTAGATTTTGTCTAAAACATTTTTTGCTCGATATCACTTTTCTTGGTAATAATTATCTTATTAAATTAAATCTGATTTTTTTAAGTAGGTACCCACGATTTTTTAACTAATATTTAAGTTTCCTTTGGTTTAAGTTTTATTCGGTGATAATTATCAATTGCGCACCATGGTCACTTCTTACCTGCCAGCATTAAATCCTTTAATTTAAAGGATTATTGTACTATTTTTAATAAAAATACCTCATTTAAGGGTAAAAAAAAACATTATTTTTCCAATTAATTAATTTAATCCTA